TGTCCCTCTTTTAACAAACGAATCTTCTCGTCACGCTCGACAAGTTGTTGCCACAAATCTTCCTCGTCAACTACAGATACCGACTTAGAGAATCCCTTCGCCGGTCCTCTCATCCTTGCAGGTCTAACCGCCAAGCTACCCATACCTCGAACAACCGTACCTACCGACGGAGGTACATTCCAATCAATCTCAAAGAAAACCTGAAAAGCGAATACAAATCAAAATGAAATAAAAAGTTAAACATTATCAATTAATAAGACATAAATCATCAAAAAAAACTAGCAATAAAAATATACTTACACTAAGTTGATCAACTATAATCTTGAGTTCGTCTTGTGGAAGTTGTAAATAACTATCGGTCAACATTGGAATATGCTCAAGAACAATGCTCCCGATTTGCTTTGCGATCCTACAAACTTTGTTTATGATTGTGTCAGGCAAAAAAAATTTCCATTGACCACTTAAGAGGAAGACGTTTATTTTCGTTGTTTTCGGTTAGTCACAAATGTAAGTAGCTACACATAGAAAACAAAAAACAGAAATTAAACAAAATCATTGGTGATTAACTATTTTTGTTGCTTCTTTTTTCAAATAGTAAAAGAGCAAAAGGAGGGATGGTGGTTTGAGCATGACAAAACATGTACAGCTGCTGGTTTTTGCAGCAGGTGTATGTATACATATCATTCTTGGGGGGACAGAAAATGAAGTCCCAAACATGCCCTTTTGTGTGTGTATACAAAACACTACATGCCCTTATGTGTGTGTATAAGATGAAATGGAAAGAATATGAAGTCCCTTGTGTGTGTGTATACAAAACACAGCTGCTGGTTTTGCTGGTTTTAAACTTGGTGTCAATCAACTTTGTAACAGAAGCCAAAGGTACTGCCCCCTTAAGTATGTTGCTCCACTTAAACAAGATAGAACTACAGCAAGCAGTGGTATGGAACATCATAATTGACATTAGGTGAGTCTACTGATTTGTAACTCACAATTTCATGGCACATAATTGTTAAAAGTGGCATGGCACATAAGAAAACTTGTTTAAAATTTCATGGCAGTGGATTAAACAGATTAGTTATGATTCTATTTAACAGGAATGAAAACTACTAGTCAATACAAGTGACACAACTTAATTAGTAGTTTACACCAGATTAGTTTTGGCCTTTTCTTTATTTTTTTCAATCAAAGCTTTTTTATTGTGCCCACATCATAGTGATTGAAGCTGGAACAACTTTAGGTAATTTATGATATTTGAGACACAACATATATACAAAATGGTAATGAGGTGAGGTACAAGGGTAGCAGCTTGTAGGGGTCTATGAAAGTATGTTGCTCATAAGTTCAAATGGAAATAGAATGCAGTCCCAAACAGATGATGCAACTTGTTTTGTTTACACCATCACAGTGTCCGCTTCACATCTAGACATTCCCACAGTACCAAAGGCCATTCATAAATCAGATGCACATAATTAAGGCATATACGATATATGTAGCTTTAGTATGTATTAAATACTCTTTTACAGCTGTTGGAAAGAAAATGGAAAGAAAATGAAGTCCCAAACATTAAATGGAAACATAATGCAGTCCCAAACATGTAGCCAGATGTGTGTGTGTGTGTAAGATGATCCAACTTTTTTTTATAAACTACGATTATAAATATTATTTCTTGACAAAACACAAACCCGAGACAAAAATAAATGGGTTTAGACGATAAACGAATTTAATCAATTTCTTTAATTCATTACATCACACATACTAATATTTAATCAATAATCTGGGTCATGGCGATATTCATCACCAATATTATGAAACTCATTAACATCATTATCTGAATCTATATCATCGTTGATTCCAAGCACATCGTTCTCGTCCTCTTCCTCTTCATCACTGTAATACTCATCGTCCTCGTCCTCTTCCTCATTGTAATCTTCATCGTTCTCATCATCATCATTTGGTATATCAATACGTGGTGTAGGACCAATATCGATAAAAATCTCACTTATGGGAATGGTGGTAGTCACGGGCTCTTGGTACGGTTCCTCTACCTCATAATGTGGACCGACATTTGTGTTTCGTGCAAGTGTAATCGCCTTGTATGTACCTCTATGAAACATGTGATGAACAACTTTCCAACCGTTAGCAAACATTGGATCATCGATGTAGAATACTTGTTTTGCATGTAAGGAAAGACAAAATTGATTGTCTTTGTAGCAATCGGTCTTTGTATCAATCGAAATTAGACCACGATCTAACTTTGTATTTTCTTCGTCATACCACCTACACTTAAACAACACGACCGACATTGCTTCTGGATAAATTAGCATAGGACCGGTTAGGAAGACTTGTTTAGGAAGATGGATGCAGAGATGTACCATGATTGTGATGAAAGCTGGAGGGAATATCGCTTCTAACTTGCATAAAATCAAAATAATGTCCTGTTGCATCTGTTCAACATCTGACTTCTTCAACTCTCGAGCACACAACATCTGAAAAAATCTAGATAAGTCGCAAATTGCATAAGTGACATGATTGGCCACGTATGATCGTATGACCACGGGAAGAATGCGCTGGAGCAACACGTGGCAGTCATGAGTCTTCAAACCATAAAATTTCTTGTCATTTATGTTTACCTTGTTCTTTAAGCTTCCAGCATAACCACTGGGATACTGAACCGCGACAATTTGATCAAGCACCGCGAGGCGAAATTGAGGCTTCACCGTGTAATTGGCGTTAGGTAGCGTTGTTTTTCCTGAGGTGCCTCGGGGTTTCTTCGGCCAAAGATGTTTGTGTATCTTCATATCTTCCAGAGTTTTGCGGGCTTTAAGATCATCCTTGACTTTCCATCAAACCCCAAAACTGTACCAAGAATGTTGTCACATACATTCTTCTCGATGTGCATGACATCCAAGGCATGTCTCACTCTTGATTTCTTCCAATACGGGAGCTCCCAAAATATGCTTTTGTGAGTCCAACATAACTTTGGCTCATTCATCCCCAATTGTTAACAATAATCTTAGTTTAATTTTCATATATGATAAGTAAATACAAGTTTTGAATGTAATAGATTTACAAATCCTAAGTAAAGTATGATAAATCTTTTGTACAATGCAGTTGTCACCTTGGAAGCATCAATTTGTTTACCTTAGGCAACATAGAAACAAGAATATATGTTGCCTAAGTAAATTGGTTTGAATTTATAATTTTTACCTTAKGCAACATAKAAACAATAGTATATGTTGCCTAAGTAAATTATGATAAATCTTTTGTACAATGTCAGTTRTCACCTTGGAAGCATCAATTTGTTTACCTTAGGCAACATAGAAACAAGAATATATGTTGCCTAAGTAAATTGGGTTGAATTTATAATTTTTACYTTAGGCAACATAGAAACAAGAATATATGTTGCCTAAGTAAATTGGGTTGAATTTATAATTTTTACCTTTAGGCAACAAAGAAACAAGAATATATGTTGCCTAAGTAAATTATGATAAATCTTTTCGTACAATGCCAGTTGTCACCTTGGAAACATCAACTTGTTTATAAGTAAATTGAGTTGAATTTATAAYTTTTACCTTAGGCAACATAGAAACAAAAATATATGTTGCCTAAGTAAATTGGGTTTAATTTATAATTTTTATCTCAGGCAACATAGAAATAGAAATATATGTTGCTTAAGTAAACTTTGTTGGATTTATGTTTTTACCTTAGGCAACATAGTATAAGAATATATGTTAACTAAGTAAACTTTGACGGATTTCAAAAAAAATATGAGTGTCCAACATTGAACTAACGCAACATAGGCTAGTATGTTGCCTAGGATATATGCAGGCAACATAGAATTATTTATATGTTGCCTAAGGTCACACTTAGGCAACATAGAACCATATGTTGCATTAGAGGAAACTTAGGCAACATATATTAGCATTTGTTGTCTTAGTGTATCTTAAGCAACATAGGCAATTTACATTTGTTGTCTAAGACAATATTTGGTGTGTAGTGTTGTACTTATGCATAATTTACTTGTAATCTTGAACTGTAAGTAATATGCATCAATAAATAGTATTTTATGCATAAAAATGGTTTTTAAGAGTTTTTGTCAAATGTTTTATAATATAGTATATATATATATATATATATATATATATATATATATAGGGGCCTAATCAAATGAGAACTAATTAGTTTGTGGTAACAGTGAGAACCAATATTAACCACAAATCAATAGATAAATTAGGAATTTTATAATTTTGGCAATTTTGAATTAAAATATTAATGTAAGGATATTTTTGGTATTTTAAACTTTCCTCCCTCCTCTCTTCTCTCTCCGGCCACCGTCCTCCGGCCACCGGCCACCGTCCTCCGGCCACCGGCCACCGTCCTCCGGTGATACTACAATGGTATCACAATGCATCATATATGTGCTTGGGTATCACATTAATGTCGTTTGTTTGGTCGATCGAAGATGTAACACAGTGGTATCACTATGGATCTTATATATGATTAGGTATCACAATGTATCTTTTGTTTAACAGAGTCAATATTTTTAGGTATCACAATGTATCTTTTGTTTAACAGAGTCAATATTTTTAGGTATCACAGTGGTATCATAGTGGTATCACCGGAGGACGGTGGCCGGAGGACGGTGGCCGGAGGACGGTGGCCGGAGGCCGTAGAATGGTGGCCGGAGAGAGGAGAGATGAGAGTGGAGAGTTTTAAAATACCAAAAATATCCTTGCATTAAGATTTTAATTTAAAATTACCAAATTTATAAATTTCCTAATTTATCTATTGATTTGTGGTTAATATTGGTTCTCACAGTTACCACAAACAACTCAGTTCTCCCTTAAATAGGCCCCTATATATATATATATATATATATATATATATATATGTATGTGTGTGTGTGTGTGTTTTGGAGGTTTTTTTGAATGGAGAATCAGGAGTAGAACATTTTTTAACAAAAGAAATCACTCTTTAAGGAATATAAAAATGTGTCAACTTAAAATTGGCTTCTTGTACGTATAGTTTGTTAGTCAATTGATACAAAACACACATCTAAAAACTCCCAAAAAAATAAAAATTGTGTTATGTTCTATTTAAGCTTAGATCTTGAAAAAGCCAATGTGGTCTCTTGCTATCTTGATTGTACAATGTGCTTGAATTTGCCAAATTCGTTTTCGTTGTGACCTCAGAGTCGTTGTCTCCGGTTTGATGGAGACAGCTTTGTGATCTTCTTATACTAGTGCTAGGTCCAATACTTAACGTTAGTTCCACATCATTACATCCCGTTTGGTCCCCGCTACTCTCTCCATATAACGTGCATTCCTTGGCGTGTCTTGAAAGATCAACACCTAAATCTTCATTCCCATTGTCCGTAGTAGCATTTGGAACAGACGTAGTATCTAGTTTAGTATCGTTTCTCAAAGTACTTATCAGATTCTTTTGGACATGATACAACCGATGAAGTTCCCTTACCTATACAATAAATTCACCGAATAAAAATAGAGTTAACAGAATTACAGATGTTATACCAACGTTCAACGATAATGTATGGTTGAAATCATGCATGGTTTCTTACGAAAAGCTAGGTTCTTGCTTGTATATGATGTCCAGAATTTAATGAGGTGAATGTTTACAGTTTGTTATCACATGACAAATAAAAACAAACACCATGTACAAACCTGATGTCTGAAAGTATCTTCATGCTTCAACATTGTCTGTTTGATGAATTCTAGATGGTGGTTTTCGAGCATGGTTATTTATCGATCGAGTCGATCTCGAAGCTAACAATACCAACAAAAGGCACGTCTAATGATTCTTTGAGATATGTTCTTCCACGAATCGATACCCAGAAATGTCAATTTGTTGCTAGTTGAAAAATGGGCATGCTCTAGTTTTCTTCCCATGTCTACAAGAGCTGTGCAGAAATGATGAATTTATATCCAAAAATGGTACAAAAAGATATACCAAAAACAAAACTACAATAAAGTCGAACCAGTGCTCTGACAATAGCAATTTTTTATAATTTACTTTTGTTATTTATCTTAACTGCATCTTGAAATGCATCATAGTGTTGTAACGTACAATCGAATAATGCATATAAAAAAGTAAAATCTACTGTTTCAAGGTGGATTATATTGAGATATAAGGCACTAGTGAAAAGTGGAGACAATTGGTAGTTGAACCCAAGTCAGAAATCTTTGAGGACCAAAAGTCAAAATTCAACCACCATGGATGATTTGAGTCATAACTAACCCAATGAAGAACAAAAAGTCAAACTAGATCGCAAAGCCAACATCAAAATTTGCGCGTACTCGAAACCACTTAGGACATTGCCAGAAGCAAAATTGAGAGTGGGGCTAGCTATAGCTTTATTTGGATATCTATTTTTCTTTTTATTAACCTAAATATCCAATACGTTATGAGAGTCAATTGATTCCAGACGACCACCCGTTTTGTGGGTAATCCGGAGCCATCGTATTTGCATCTCCGTGACCACAAAAAAAGATTATTATATTCGAACCTAAGACTTCTAGACACTTTTGATCTTTAGAGCTCAAACTTAAATCAATCAAGCACAACACTTATGGTTAGATCCAATCTTTTTTATTGTTATAAATCACTTATAAGTTATAATCTAGTTATTTGAAAAGTTGTTTCAAGTAAGATTTAATAATTTATAATAAAACTTTTTATTTCTCTCTCTCTTATATTTACATAAATGACCATATTCATTTAGATAATTTTAAATTATTATCTAACTTATCAACTAATTTTATCAAATACAATTTACTTATTAGTTATCTTAATAAAATAACAACTAATGTATTAGTTAATAATTAGTTTTTCAGATAAGAATTAGTTTTTTTAAGGTATTATCATTTATAAAACTAATGTTCTTGAATTCAGAAATATTGTTATGCTAAAAGAATTTCCTAGAAAAGCACACATAACCATCTATGCTACAAATTCTTAATCAATATATATGTATGAGACGTGAATAAGGGCCGTTTACCATACACTTACCCGGTAAGTGCTTACTAATAAATTTAACATTATCATTTACTTACCGAATAAGATTTTAGTTCACCAAAATGGTATCGTATGTAACAATTTACCCGGTAAGCGCTTACCGTGGTAAGAGTCGTCGTCTTCACTTACCGGGTAAGACTTTTGGTCTTTGTCTCGCTCTTACCGGGTAAGATTTTTTATCTCTACTATATTCATCCGGTAAGGTAAGATGATTTGGTGTTCACTTACCCGAGTAAGCGTTTGATAAATGGCTCTTAAGTTTTTAAATGGTGTGAGGTGTGGTGTGACGATGAGCTCAAACCTTAATTAACCCTTACATGTCAAGATGAGGATGCGGTGTTTTTCTAGGTTTGACATAAAGCGACAAATTTATATGTCATATGTACAATTATATATACATAGGTTTTTTTTTATTTACTATTCAATAATATAATGATATTAAATCTTTTACCTTCATAATACAATAAGAAAAATGGATTAAGGCCCAATAAAATCGAATAAATCCGCATATAACACACACACATTATCTATACATTCACATATATACACATACATTTAAACATATATACATCAATCCAATCGTGGTTAGCAACCAGTACACATCGTGTATATATATGTATATAACATTGATCAACGGGTATATATACATCCCAGTACACATACAAACGTCGTGTAAACATATGTATATAACACGGACTGACGGGTATATATACTTATAACACATGCACATGTATACATACGCTACCTAAACATAAAAATGTGTACATGTAACACATAAAAATCAAGAAAATCAAGAAAATAGGACAATTCCCTCGCTGATCAGCGAGGGAATTGGCAAAAATTAGTTTCCCTCGTTGATCCCTCGCTGAGGGATTTTCCTATTTTTCCTATTTTCTCATTTTTATGTGTTATATGTACATATTTTTATGTGTTGGTGTCGTATGTATACATGTATATGTGTTGTTTGTGTATATAATAAAACCGAATAAAGCCCATTAATTAAGTCCTAATAAAATCGAATTAAGCCCATTAAGGCCTATTAAACCAAATAAAGTCAAATAAAATTGAATAAAGTTTATTAAGGTCCGATAAACTCAAAATAGCCTTGTAAATGAATTAAGGCCCAATAAACTGAACAAAGCCCAGTTAAATGGGTTAAGACCCAATAAAATTGAACATGAATACATACAATACCTACATATAAAAATGTGTATATATAACACATGAAAAAAAACAAAAAAAATAAGAAAATAGAATAATTCCCTTGCTGATCCCTCGCTGATCAGTGAGGGATCAACGAGGGAATTGGCAAAAATCAGATTCCCTCGCTGATCAGCGAGGGAACAGCGAGAGAATCTGATTTTCGCAAAAAAAAATTATTTTTTAACTATTAATTTAATTGCTTATTAACTTTTAATTATTGATTATTAAATTTTCTGTTATTTATTAGAATATTACAAAAATTAATTAATAAATTAATTAATAAAACTGAATAAAGCCCATTAAGGCCCATTAAAACCGAATAAAGCCCATTAAGGCCCATTAAACCGAATAAAGTCAAATAAAACTGAATAAAGTTCATTAAGGCCCGATAAACTCAATGAAGCCCGGTAAATGGATTAAGGCCCAATAAAACCGAACAAAACTCAGTTAAATGGGTTAAGACACAATAAAACCGAATAAATCCGCATATAACACACACACACACACACACTATCTATACATTCACATATACACATATTTTTAAACATATATACATCGAGCCAATCGTGGTTACCAACCAGTACACATCGTATATATATATATATATATATATATGTATATATATATATATATGTATATAACATTGACTGACAGGTATATATACATATAACACATACAACGTCGTGTAAACATATGTATATAACACGGGCTGACGAACATATATACTTATAACACATGCACATGTATACATACACTACCTAATATAAAAATGTGTACATGTAACACATAAAAATCATGAAAATCAAGAAAATAGGACAATTCTCTCGCTGATCCCTCGCTGATCTGCGAGAGATCAGCGAGGGATTTTCCTATTTTCTTGATTTTCTTGATTTTTATGTGTTGGTGTCGTATGTATAAATGTATATATGTTGTTTGTATATATATATATATATATATATATATATATTGTGGATGCTAACCGCGATTTGTATTATATGTACACATGTGTGTGTGTGTGTATATATATATATACATATATATATGCTTACATGATGTTGTAATTGTTATAGATATATATACTCGTCAGTTTGTGTTATATACATATGAATACACGATATGTATAGATGTGTGGTGGTTAGTAACCACGATTGGATAGATGTATATATATACTCGTTGATTTAGTTTTACTAGGCTTTATTCGATTTTACGAGGCCTTAAGAGACTTTATTCGGTTTTGTAGGGCCGTAATCCAATTTTCTTGGACTTTATTTGGTTTTATTGGGTCTTAGATCCAATTTCTTGGACTTTATTCGGTTTTATTGGGCCTAATGGGCTTTATTCGGTTTTATTGGGCCTTAACCTATTTTAATAGATTTTGTTCAGTTTTATTAGGCCTTAATCCATTTACTGGGCTTTATTGTGTTTATCGAGCCTTAATGGGCTTGATTCGGTTTTATTGGGCCTTAATGGGCTTTATTTGGTGAAGTTGGGCTTTAATGTGATTTATTCGGTTTATTGAGCCTTAATGGCTTTATTCGGTTTTATTGGGCCTTAAGGGACTTTATTCGATTTTATTGGGCCTTAATGGACTTTATTAGATTTTATTGGGCCTTAAGGGACTTTATTAGGTTTTATTGGGTCTTAATCCATTTATCGGGCCTTAATGGGCGTGATTCTGTTTTATTGGGCCCTAATGGGCTTGATTCGGTTTATTGGGCCTTAATGGGATTTATTCGGTTTATTGGGCCTTAATTGACCTTATTCGGTTTTATTGGGCTTTAATCCATTTATCGGGCCTTAATGGACCTTATTCGGTTCTATTAGACCTTAATGGGCTTGATTCGGTTTTATTGGGTCTTAATGAGATTTATTCGGTTTAATGTAATAATTAATAATTAATTAAATTTTTAGTTATTAATTATAAAAGTAATTAAATAAATTAAATAATTTAAAAAAATACCTTTTTAGCAACGGAATTTCCTTCGAAAATCCGTCGCTGATATCCACCTATAAATAAAAGTCATCTAGGTCAAGCCTCCATTATCAGATCAATACCACCATTTCCTTCCCGTCGCTACCGCCACGAGATCGATCGGTCGATCGAGAGAAAGAGGTACCAAGATCGCCGACCACCACCGTTTACGAGCAACACCAAATCGCCGACCCCGTTGCTAACCACCACCGCCTTCCCGTCGCCGACCACCACCGTCTTCGAGCAACACCAAGTCGCCGGACCCGTTGCCAACCACCACCGCCTTCCCGTCGCCGACCACCACAGCCTTCCCACCACTGTCGTCTCCATTTCCGACCACTACCGCCTTCCGACCACTGCCGTCTCCATTTCCGACCACCACCGCCGTCTCTGTTTACTTAGGTTTGTTTTGTTTTAATGATTTTTTTGCTTATGTTTCTTAAACAGGAATGTTACTGTATGTTTAATAATTCTTGTTCATAATTTGATCGGATATGTATGGATTGCATTTTCTTTCCTAAAGGTCATTCTGGGTGAGCCGCCCCTTACACAAGCACTATATGTCTTATCATACGTAACCGCAAAGGAATGTCTTTCGAGTTATGACACACCTTTTTGAACACTGAACGTGAATTGAGAATAAATTTCAAATCAATAACGATAACTTATACTTTATGCATTAAAATTTGTAATTTTGGCTTATATATATAATTACTGTTAGATCAACAACTTACCAAAATGTATGTTTTAATGCACCAATACAATCAAAATGGGTAGTTTGTTTGACTTTTCATTAAGTTCTATATTGATAAAACTGTTTGTGTGAATTAATCTGTCCGTATAGGTTAAAAGTATTTTTATTTGAAAGGATTTTTCATAGATGAAAGTAGCATGTCATTTAATTGGGAGCAACAAGTTTGGATATTACTTTGGCTCTATGCACAAACCTCTCTCTAGACAGACTTCTATTTTATTAAGTTATTACCAAATATTCATGTGTAGCTGACCGAATAAGTTGAGAGTCATATTAAACTTATTAAGTTGCTATCAAATGGTCCCTAGATCATCCTTCCTAGGTCCTTCTTACGGCCAAGATTGACATATAAATAAGAATAAGGTACAAATCGTAAAACATATGGTACAAGTTCCTTGAGAAATATTGTTGTGAATCTAGAAATTATTGCAGTGGAAAGCAAATGTATGCATCCACATTTATGAATACAAAACTAAAATGGCATGATCCATATCAATAACATAATATATACCTGGCAATAAAAAGTGTGGCAGATGAAGACCATTGAAGGTTACGACACCTGAATTGGCAGCAGATCTCCCTCACCGGAAAAATCTTGAAAAGAACCAATCTGGAAAATTATCCGGCGAGTGCCGGTTTGACCAAGAATGGTTCCAAAGAAAAAGGGGCAGAATTGAAGGGTTTGTTGGAGTCCCCTAGCTAAACTTTGAGATTTGTTTCACAAAGCAACAATGTTTGTAGCTAGGATGATCAATGATTTATGGATGTATACATATACATATACATATACATATATATATATATATATATATATATTAATTATTATTATGCATGAAACATACTATACTATACTACAGCTGCTCTCTCTCATCCACAGCGGCACAGCCTGTCAATATTCTTCAGTTTTATATATATATATATATATATATATATATATATTCTTGTGTATAATTAATTAAGGTTGTATTTTTAATGTACCATGTGTATCTTTTGAATCTTGATAGGTTTGGGACCCATTTCAGGAAACGATATTGCCGGTTTTCATTAGAATACATTGAAATTTTGTATGGATATGAAATTACTGGAGGGTCAGCTGGGAGATGCAGAAAGTTTCAAAACTTGAGTATTTATTGTTTTGGTATAGGCCTGCATGTCAACAATATATTCACCGCAAATTAGGGATGTTCAAACCAAAACTAATTTTTAATTATTTTATTAGAAAAGAGCCTAGGGTTCAAAAAAGTGGGTCAGGTGTCACGTGGCGGTAAGATCAAGTCTAAAGTCTTATAAATTATCATTAGCGTAAACTGTTTTTTCAAAGTGTGTCTAAAGGCAGCTAATCTCCCTATATATAAATATGTATATATATATATAGAGAGAGAGAGAGAGAGAGGAGGTATTTATATAGGGTTGGGTTTCAGTGAGAGTGAAAATTATGATAAGAAGAATAAGAAGAAATCTTCACATTTAAATCAATCATAATTGAAACTTAAAGAAGTGCACGGGATCAATTCCCGTGATGAGAAATGCAGTTCATAGGGTTAGGATGAGATTAAAAGTGATCAAGGATCTAAATCCCTTTTTATGCTTATATATGTGTACATATATAGAAAGATTCATTTGAGAAGTAAAGAAGTGATCTTAACCCTTCATCTGGTCAACATTTGCGTCTTTGACTGTGAATAACCAAATAATTTTTCGCATGGATATGTAGATGATAGAGGGGTGGTTTCGTAACTTTTACAAATATGCGGCAAACGGGTTCATATGTGAACTTGTATGATTCATGTATGAATTATATGTGAACTCATTATTTTGTTCACATGTGAACTATTAAACTGATTAACATATGAACACGCAGTTATGTAGTTAATATGTGAATCATACAGGTTCATATATGAATCAATTGACATAATTCATATGTAAATTACACGGGTTCACATATGAACCCGTTTGCTGCCTATTTGTAAAGGTAGCCAAACTACCCCATCTATTTTTTGTATATTTGCAAATTTTGACCAGTCAAATTCGATTTTGACCGTACGAAGGATTAAGATCACTTCTATAAATGGGCAGTTATGGTTAGGAACCTAAAACTGAATAGGAACTCGAGAACAATCCACAGTACGACACCTGTCATATTCATCATAATATGGGTGTGTTATTCATCATTCATGAATCACACATTCATAACACTTATGTATTCATCATAAATGTGTTATTCAAGATGAGTATTCATCCAGAAAAACAAAGGACATATAGGACAGTTTCAGGTTCTTAACCAATTTTGGGTTCCAAACATAACTTCCTCCTCTCTCTCTCTCTCTCTCTCTCTATATATATATATATATATATCTCTTTTGTGCCTCTAGGGTGAGGGATGTGTGTGTTGGTGTGTTAATCTATAATATCTAACAATTTAAATTCATATAAAACTATAAAATAAAGAAGAGTTATATATTTATTTTAAAAAAATATATATAGAAAGCTTACAAAAACTAATATCAATAACTCATGATAACAAAAAGAATGTTCTAATAATAGTTCAGTACTCCAAGCTTGACGACCTTCTAATCGTCGATGCTTCATCAACTTCATGTTCATGCCCAACACGTTTTAGGGTTTGTACGTTTCACATTTATATTGTTTACTCAAGTACTCTTATTTAACGAGATCACTCTAGCTATCAAATTTAAATAATAACTTCTAATTAGTTAAATATAGTAAATTGAAAAAGATCCTATGCCTGACGCCATAGTAATGTGTCGTAACAAGCCTTGTCGTAAAACCTATGTTAGAGTCGTGCCAAGGGGGTTAAATTAGCGCCAAAACCACAAGTTAGTGCCATAACACGTTATTTAGAATTAGAACATCTAGAAGAACAAATTAATTTATCTGTATCAATTTTAATTACATGTAAAATCAATTTTAATTAAATTACCTATCATAACATGCTCTCTGTGAAATTGTTTTCTTTTTGTACTAACGTTTTCATGTTATATATTGATTATTTGGTTACATCAATTAATTAAAATTTTCTTCTACATGTTATGAGCAAGAATACGTGATATGTTAACTTTTTTATGAGTATATGGTTTGGAAGAATTTGATATTGGTACTTGTTAAGAGCAAGAATACATTACAAGAGTTTTTAGAGGGGATTGAATACAAATACAATTATTTAGCCTTTTTAATTCTTTTATTAGTTTAGAAGAAGAATCAATATACGTGAATTTATAGATTGTTGTTGAATAAGAAAAAGAATTAACCTTGTCTAAACAATTTTTTACGTTGAAACTAAAGCACTGAGAATCGTTGAGAAACAAAGTAGAGAAAGCACAAAGGTTCTTGTACAAAATCTTTTTATATATATTAAAGTAAAACCCACAAAGAATGAGGTGACGTCCTAAGAAGTGAGTTTTCTTCATTTCTTGAATTGTGGTTGAGTTTGTGTATCCTACATAGATGGAGATATGAAATATTTAAAATGAATAGTGGGTATATAAAAGGAGGTTGAGATGTTTTTGTGACAACTCATGTGGTTTGCTCCTCTTTGCCGATCCTCTAAACTCATATTGTTGGCTCATTTTGGCCGACCATCCGAACTCACGGGTTGACTCTTTTAGCTAACCCTCTTTTAGAAAAAAAAATGTTCACCATACAAAATAAAAAATAAAAAAATCTTTATTAGATTTAAGTATTTTAAAATCTTTATTAGATTTAAGTATTTTAAAATCTTGAAGTACGGTGTGATTTTGGTTATCTTTTGTCAACTTCTTTTACAATTTCTTTTTGTTAAAACAACATATGAAATGATATCTTTTAAACTCACGTTGTTGGCTTATTAATGTAAAACCCACAAAAAATGAGGGGGCATCCTAAGAAGTGAGTTTTCTTCATTTCTTAAATTGTGGTTGAGTTTGTGTATCCCACATAGATGGAGATATGAAATATTTACAATGAATAGTGGGTATATGAAGGGAGGTTGAGATGTTTTTGTGACAACTCATGTGGTTGGCTTCTTTTGGCCAATCCTCTAAACTCATATTGTTGGCTCATTTTGGCCGACCAACCGAACTCACAGGTTGACTCATTTTAGCTAACCGTCTTTTAGCAAAAAAATGTTAACCATACAAAATAAAAAATAATTTTTTTATTAAATTTAAGTATTTTAAAATCTTGAAGTACGGTGTGATTTTGGTTATCTTTTGCCAACCTCCTTTTACAATATCTTTTTGTTAAAACAATATATGAAATGATATCCTCTAAACTCACGTTGTTGACTAATTTTGGCCGTCCTTCCGAACTTATGGGTTTGCTCATTTTGGCCAACCTTATTTTAGCAAAATTTAAGAAATTAATCATACAATATAAAAACATCTTAATCTTTATGTATATTAAAATAAACCACACAAAGAATGAAGTGATATTAAATGAAGAACAAAGAGGTATTGAGTTAGAGTTATGAGAATGGAGTATTATCAAATAATGAACTGTTGTTGAGCTTTAGATATCTCACTTGATGAGAAGTTGAAAGAATGGAATAAAGGGATATGTATAAGATTGAAGGATGGGATGACAATTGTGTCAATTAATGAGGTTTGACTCATAGGGTTTTCTTATTTTTATAGCCCTCTTTCAAAACAACATTTATTATATAAAACAAATCTTATTAAAAGAACAACCAAGTATTGTAAGGTGGCACTACAAGACTTGAGTATTCTCAAATTTTGAAATGTGGTGTGTTTTGATTATTACATGTTGGTAAGAAAATGGTAGATTGCAAAATAAATGTCTTTCAAATCTATAGCCTTGGGTTGAAGTTACAGCCAATTCCAACCAAACGATAAAAAAGCAGTTATGAAAAACCATGGTTGAAATCTATCAAAGCCAATCAAATGGTAAAATTTGTAGTTATGAAATAATTTTCTACATGTATACAAAAGTATGAAAGATGCCTTTAAAATATATAGCCATGGTTGAAATCAAAACATTTCCATCCAAACAATGAAAATTGTAGTAATGAAAAACCATGGTTGAATCCAAAGTCAACTAGATGGCAAAACCAAAGAATGAGGTGGTATCCTAAGAATTGAGTTTTCTTCATTTCTTGAATTGTGATTGAGTTTGTGTATACCACATTGATGGAGATATGAAATATTTACAATGAATAGTGGGTATATGAAGGGAGGTTGAGATGACTTTGTGACAACTCATGTGGTTGGCTCATCTTGGCCGATCCTCTAAACTCACATTGTAGTCTCATTTTGGTCGACCCTCCGAACACACGGGTTGACTCCTTTTAGCCAACCCTCTTTTAACAAAAAATGTTAACCATACAAAATAAAAATAAAAAAAATCTTTACTAGATTTAAGTATTTTAAAATCTTCAAGTATGGTGTGATTTTGTTTATCTTTTGCCAACCTACTTTTACAATTTCTTTTCGTTAAAACAACATATGAAATGAGATCTGAGTATTTTTTTTGAATTGTGGTATGATTTTTGTTATCTTACGATTATGAGAAGATGGTTGAATGCACAATACACACACACACACACACACACACACACACATATATATATATATATGGTATATTAAAAGAGTATGTATTTCTTTGAAAAATCTTTTTATATAATAAAGTAAAAACCCACAAAGAATGAGATGACATCCTAAGAATTGAGTATTCTTCATTTCTTGAATT